TGCTCAGCATTGGTAGCTTGTGAAGTCCAGAAAGRCACGTTTCCTGTAGTTGGTTCGGTTCGAGGCCCGTCTGTATTCTCACCAGAAGTGAACCGCACCAGAAGGTGGGTCTTGRTCCGGTTCTTAGATCYGCACCARGCTTCACATGAGTGYATTCATACCTGAATAAAAGGTCTGAACCAATGGGGGAAGCGGGCCAGGTGTGTCAGGTGTGAACACAGACTAAAAACACATTTCTGCTCCCTGGCTTTTGGCACAGCCTGAGACTTGTTTTTAGTTTTATTCTTATTTTTACTGTTTTTTTTTGTTTTTAATCTTTGTTTTGTGTTTTTCATGTTTTGATTTTATATGTACAGCACTTTGTTGCAGCCGTGGCTGTTTCAAAGTGCTTTATAAACAAGGTAGTAGTAGTACAGCCTTAAACAGCCAATCACATGGCAGCAACTTGATCAGAAAAGGGATTTCAGGGACTCTGAATGTGCAGAGTTTYATGTGYAACCAYCRTWAGAGAATGGTTTGAAGAAGACAAAATGTTCTGTGTGAACAGATGCCTTGAGGTCAGAGGAGGATGTGCAGGCCGGTTTGAGATGCCCACTTATTACAACTAAGGTACACAGGCAACATATGAGAGATGGAAAAACACTGAGTCTGGTTCACTGCTGGCCTCCAGTGTCACCAGATCTCAGTCCAGTCCTGCAGCTTTAGTGTGATGGAACAGAAGCTTTACTCACAAATCTGCAGCAACGTCTAATATTATCAGGTTAATATRGATGAAAGTAAAGAATGTTTCCAAAACTTTGTTGAATCAATGCAACGAAGAACTGATCTGACCTGATCTAACCTTGTGCCAGCAAGGTGTACCAATAAAGTATTTGAGTGTTAAAAAACCAATATATCCAGATAAACACTGGCTTAAATCAGCAATCTGAACAAAGCATATTAATAAAAACAATCAGTGTTAAATATAGTTTTTATTTGAAACAGCAACAGCTCCATCTCAGATACCTTTCAACTTCTGCAGAACCTGTCAGCAAGCCGAGCCAAATTACTGTCACTAATGACTTTTTACGGTGACTATTTTCCGCAGTGTTAAACAAGCACTTCCAGTGATAATATTTAATCAGTTTAGCTGCACAGATCGGGGTTCAGCAGATGTTTCATACCTGGCAGGAAGTCCACGGCAGTGACTAGTGCCAGATTAATTTCTTGTCCTTTGGAGAGAGGCAGATCCGTTACTGCCTCAGAGCAAAGCCTACCTGTGGAGGCTCACCACGGGCAACAAGCTACACGCTCACTGCTAATCTAAAGGCACGTGTGGGAGGGAACACGAGTGGGCMCATGGAAGGTTAAAAGGTCAAAATGTTGCAATGGGGTCAGATTTATAAAATATACTGGGTCAAATGTGGAAAGTGGGTCGTTTTTCCTGGTCTCTGAGGTGGGCTCCAGAGTAAAAGAAGTGAATGTGTGTAACCTCATGCCTTTGACAGGGAATGGCAGGTCCTCCTCATCCCTCTCAGGTCGCCTCGTATATCACTCTGTGCTCTTGGACACCTCTCCATCCCACGAGACGAGAGGAAGAGTGTGGGTGAACTGCTCCTCAATCTAGCAACTACTCAACAATCAGCMGCACATCTATCATCGGGCCTGAAAGTCATTTTGAACCAGCTGACACACACGCGCTTGTATCCCCGGCCTGTGATGTGGATGAATTGTTGATGACAGCCGCCGAGCTGCCTTGAACGTGGAAAAAAAGAGAGAAAAAAAAGGCACATCGACTGCATTTTGTGTTGAAGCGGTCCGGCTCAAAGACGGAGCAGGAAGACACTGCAGTGCACGKCCCCCTCAGCTCTGTGGACAACCACTTGGTGGCACTAGCAGCCAAAATCCGAGAGGAAAAGGAGCTGAAACACTGCTGCCTGCACATTTAGTTTCCATAAGTCCCTGCCATGAATTTGAATATCTTTAACAGCGAGCTGAGCACTATCAAAATAAATCATCTCCTGTAAACAAATTTTTACAGATATTTCAGTTTTACTGCTTCTGTGGGAGCAGAACCGCCTGCCATAAACACTAACTTCATGTCAGGATGAGGAGCATATGCTCCAGAGCAAAAACACAGTCTGCACCAGTGCAGCTCGTGCTTCCAGCCTCTGGTTACCACTCAGCTTTTGATCAGAGCTAAAATATTTCCAGAGGAAGTCTGTTTTGTGATTCAGGTCAGGGTGGAGTTTAAATGTCACAGGATGGAGAGCAGCAGGGTAATTGCAGACGTCTTGTCATTTTGACCTGCTCTGCTCAGATTTGGAGAAAAGGGGGGCGGGGGGGGGTCATCTTTTTCTAAAAATGGGAGCGGTTGGTTCAGCCTCGGCTCCAGCACTTTACACACTTACCATCTTTTGTGTTTTATAGACTGTACAGTTATTTATACAAGGCTTCACATAGGGTTGTTTTGAATGAGGATGGTTTAGTAAAAGTTGTGACGTTTTCAGTGACGTCAAGTCTACAAACCTCAGTAGCTACATTTACATGGATATTAGTAATCGGATTAAACAGCCATTGGGAATAAAAATACGTCATGTAAACACCCCATTCAGATTAATCTGA